AACGCCCTCGGCCCTCCCCAACGCCTCCCCAAAATTTTCTTCGCGCCGCGCGGAGGATGAGAGAGATGTGAGGTGCTGATGCCTAGCCGACGCCGCCAACGCCTCGCCAACGCCCCAACGGTCAACACCTCGCCCGCCCAACACCCTCAAGCGTTGGCCCTCGATATCTCCACGACCGGCGCTCCCCGGCCTCATTCCAGCGTTGCCGACACGCCCTCACCACTCTTTACGTCCTCGACACTGCCTCAACGCCGCCCGCCGCGCCTCACTCCCTCCCCAACGCCCAACGCTTCATCACGTGACCCCAGGCGTTGGACCCAGAGCGTGCTACGGGCGTGCGGGAGACATGTCAAGCACACCGTTGGATAGCCTTACTCGCACGGACGACACTTTCACTCGGCCAACGCCTCTGATGCCGCCGTGGAGTGCCACCCCCCGGCCCAACGCTTCGCTTACCTAATGTCAAGCGTTGGGAAGCGTTGGCGGCCGTTGGAGGGCTCCCCCAGGCGTTGGCGAAGCGTTGCGGGGGTAAACGAGGCCTGCTGAGAGCGTTGACAATGTCAAAAACCCCCTCAGAGCAAGCGTTGGAAAAGCGTTGGCAGGCGTTGGGCGTTGGGTCACGTGGTGAGGTCAAGCGTTGGACAGGGATATCTCGACGGTGAAGACAGCGGAAGGGGGGAAACAAGCGTTGCGGATACGGCAACGATGTAGGCTATCTCCTGAGGGAGAATCAGCACGATCCGAGAGAATGACCTAGGCGTTGGGCGTTGGGCGTTGGGTCACGTGGTGAGGTCAAGCGTTGGACCCGGATATCTCGACGGTGGGGACAGCTGCAGGGGGGAAACAAGCGTTGCGAGCACGATGACGATGCAGGCTACCCCCTAGGAGAGAACCAGCACGATCCGAGAGGATGACCTAGGCGTTGGGCGTTGGGTCACGTGAGAGGATGAAGCGCTGGAAGCGTTGGACGTAGAGATCTCGGCGAAGACAGGCGTTGGTGAGCTCATTTAAGCGTTGCGAGCATGATGAAAACCCGTTCTACCACCCAGGGGAGCGACAGCACGATCTGAGGGGAGACCCCAGGCGTTGGGCGTTGGGCGTTGGGCGTTGGAAGCGTTGGACTCGAATAACTCGACGACAAGGGACGTTGGAAGGGTGATTCCGGCGTTGGCGATACGGCGAGGACTCACTCTACCCGCAGGGAGAAGGACAGCACGATCGGAGGGAGAATCACCGTCTGCGTTGGGCGTTGGAAACCTGAGGGGTGACCTCAGGCGTTGGCGGTGACCTGACGAGAATCGCACCTACGACAATGAGACCACCACCGATGTGCTCGGTAGAGTCTACCGACTGTAGCAACGCTTTGAATCGCCGCGTCAAGGCACGTTTTGGTGGTGCGGGAAATCGGAGGCGTCGACCTAGGGGTCACCCTGCTTTCCACCGCACACCCGAGGGGTCACCCTGTCTTTGATCAGAAACGCAAAT